CAAATGTGATTAAAATGTCCGCTGTGCAGTAAAAACTGCGTTTTACCTTACTCTCGGCTATTTTCTGCGGGATCCCGAAAACTCGAACTCCTGATAACTCGAACCTTTTTTCGATTTCCCTTGAAGGTTCGAGTTATCGGGAGTCGACTGTACCTTTAATGTGGTTACTTCGTAAGCAAGAAAAAATACAAAAAGCTCTTTTGCTCTCTTCTTTCTGAAAACAAATATCGATAATGGCGGTCCATGTCGCTAGTCGGTTAATTTTTTTTTCTGTCGGTAGTCAGTAATTTTTTTTTCTCGTTTTGTAGGTAGTCGGTAGTATTTTTCGCCCTTTGTCGCTAGTCGGTTAACCCCATTCACACTCTCAACTTTGGTTTGAGAGACTCAAACATCAAAAGGCAAACTAGTACGACAGCGTTAGCTAATCATGAGGAAACTTAAGATGGCTAGACTGGATATTTTTTAGAAGGGAGACTTCTTAAGTTTGATTATTATTCATTCAAAATATTTCCCCAATTCTGATTGGCTAAAAGCACACACATAATTCACCATAACCAGTTACTGATGACCAAAATTGGAAGAATCTTGAGTTTAACGAGGAAATGACGTCAAAAATGCAGCCTCTACAGGTTAATGCACCGTTAACTGAGAAGACCTGGGGACGAGGTTGAGTTGTTTTCGCTGTGAAAACTAAAATGGCGGACACTTCACTTTTTTCAAGAGTAAGAACTACAGCTGGAACTAGGCAAAATAATGGCTAAAACATAGCAAAAACAGCAAGAAGACAACTCGGAGGGCGACACTGGGCTGCTATTTGGAGAATATTCGCGGAGCTGGACAAACCTGAACGCACACAATCGAAGATAAACTTAACATCGATGCAGGTAAGCATGTTTTAGCTATGTTTTTAAACTAGGAATTATTTTGAATGAATAATAAAGCAATTAATGAATTCGGATTTCGTGGGATATGAAGAATTAAGCGGAACTGGGAGGGTGTTATTCAGACGGCAAAAACTTTAGCGTCACTTTTTCATCATGTGGGACGCAGAAATAAATCGCTTTGCAATAGTTTATTTGAATTTATGTTTCGTTTTTGCAATACCTGTTTTCAGTCAGCTTATTTAGCTTTATTTTCATTGGTACGGAGACGCCCTGAACATGACAGGAAAGTAATTGAGGATCCTTCTGAATGCAAATTAGAACAGCTACTACGTACTGCAAATCAAGACGGATATTACAAATTATTACAAAATCGTCCACAGACGTTCTCTAAACTTAAGGCAAAACTACGTTAAAACTTGTTTGAAGAAAAAGATGGCTTTTCGCCGCACCATAGGGATCAATGGGAATCTGAAAAAAATTATCGATGTTGTCTGTATGGATCATACAGATCGTGCTCTAAAGTTTTTAATATTTCATTCACACCTGGCTTGGACTGAGGAATGATAGTTAAAACTATCAGTTTTCAGGGAAAGGAAAAAATAATACAATTCTTTTCCGGTACAAAAACAAAAACGTTTAATACTTCATGCTTGTTTAAATTCTAGGAAACTACATAAAAGAGTTGAATACAATAATTAATGTGAAAAATGAAGTAAGGAAAAAGAAATACTTTAATTTGGTTTGAAACAAAAAGTTTCAATTAGAAATTTCTTCTATACCTCGCTATCGCCGTTTTACGAGCATCTGACATATGTAGGGACCTTACGAAACTACGACGGCGACGGCAAGAAGAACGCCTAAAATAGAATAGGCTTGAGTGAGCAAAACGACAGCTCTGGCGGCACGTGCATCACGATTTTCTTTACATTTCTTCGTTGTCCCTACACAACTACAACGTGGAACAGTCATTTTTTTTTTTTTTAGTTGACGGGAACTGGAACGACAAGGCGATAAATTTATTTACTACTTCTCTCTGAACTCGGACGCGGCCTCTGTTAAATTCTGTATTTTAATGCTTTATAATCACGATGTTATAAGATTACAACAAAACCCGAACATAAGTTCAACACGCTTCTCTGGTCTTCTAATACTCGTAACTTAGCACGCATGGTATTGTGGGATGTCCAATACATAAACTTCCGGTGAACTCAAACATCCGGTTTTAATACACTACAGCCTCCGCTATTCAGTTCCAACCTAACACATGTCAACGTACTTTCAATTCACTGGGCGACTTGGTAGGACGGCGAAAAAGTTTCATTGGACGCGAAGTCTATTTTTCAGCGACGTATTCATTGGCGTCTCTGTTTTCGGATAGTTAGGTCCCTATTGGATTGTATTCTCATCGTCCTTTGGTTCTTGTACCCTCCTTAAACACCAGTGTTTCCAAACTATGATTTGAGAAAAATCGCCAGGGAATTGCTGGCCCCAAAACTGCCGCCTGCGATGCCTGACACAATCTGCTATCAAAAGCAGTTCTGCCAACTAATATTAAGATCTATGTCCTTCAAAAATGATCAAGTAGAAGGCTCTACACGATTACTTTACCGCCTAAATTAAACCAGCTGACTGATAAGCCTTTTAAACTCTTTCTTTATGTCTCTTTTGAAAAAAGCATAAGACAGTGGGTTAATGGCCGAGTTTAAAACCAATACAGGAACTTTGTATTGTTCATCTTTACATGATGCATTTGTGTCGGATAGTACTACGAGACTACAACGTAAATATATTCCGTAGCACACAACAAACACTCCTATCACAATACCCATCATTATTACTGCAGACTTCTCGTTACGGGTTTTAAAAGATATCCGTCCTAGGGTGCGTGCTGACCGATCTTGTTTCCATACGTGAATTAACATTGACACAAAACAGAGTATCTGCAGAACGCATGGAAAGATTTCCATGGAAATCATTAAAACCACAACTGCAACGATACTAGTCAGAGGGGTCTCACAGCAAAGCCGAAGTGCGGTCTTGAGCGCAACCAGCGTAAATGACGCTATCCAACAGGAAGTTATCACTTGAATAACACGAGATCGAGTCATGAAAGTTATGTATTTAAAAGGCTTTACGATGGCGATATAACGGTCGAGCACCAGAGAACACAAATTTAAAACAGACAAGTAGCTAAACAGCCACCTTACGACATCTTTCCATGAAGGAAAAGCCTTAGGCCAGTCACAGGTTTTTGTAACGTCGCATACAAACAAAGAAGGAATAATGCTCAAACCAACACAGAAATCCGCTACTGCAAGTGAAACAATAAACGAGTTGGTTTTGGTGTGGAGATTTCGTCTGCTGCAGACGAGGAAGATCACAAATCCATTTCCAGTGATGGCAAGAAACGAAAGAACCAATCCAAGAATCCAAAACCAGGTCTCCATCCGTAGTAACGGCAGTTAAGAGAGGTCCTTATTAACTACAGATAAAAGAAAAACATCTTCTTCGCAATAATGTCAGGAGGTTGTGAGTTATTCACTGGCAGATGTATGTTACTAGACGGAAGTCCTTTTGATTGTCCTACTTTGTCATAAACTTGGTAATTTCTAATAATAATGTGTTTCGCATGCGCAGTAGCGACCGAGCTGTCGCAACACAGTTGGTACCCTTACCAAACCATATGTATTTTGAAACTGATTTTAAAGTGTTTAAAATGTATTTTCAGTATTTGAATACTATTTTCCTATATTTTAATCCTATTTGAGAAAAAAATTTAAATTTTCGCCCCTGTTTGGAATATATCTTAAGTGTAGTTAAATTATATTTCATCAAAAGGAAAACCTCTCTCATCAATTTACAATGTATTTTGTTTAATAAATATGATTAAAATAGGGTATTTCAAATGTATTTTGGGCATAGAACCACTAACACTGTTACAAACAGAGTTCAAATAGACTATTTGAAATATGTTTTAAGGGCTTAAATGCGACGGTTTTTTAAATACTTTTAAATAGGGTGCTTTAACACTGTTTTGAGTTGCATCTACAATGTATTTTGAGGCGCATCCACTCACAAAGTTACAAACATAATTCAAATAGAGTATTTAAAATATGTTTTGAGAATCTAAATGCTGACCGTATCTTAAATACTTTTAAATAGGGTACTTTAAAACTGTTTTGAGTTGTATCGAAAATGTATTTTGAGACGCATCCACTCATAAAGTTACAAACAGAGTTCAAATCGACTATTTGAAATATGTTTTAAGTCCTTAACTACTGACCGCATTTCAAATACTTTTAAATAGGGTACTTAAACACTGTTTTGAGGTCTATTTGAATTGTATTTTGGGCACACAACACTCTGACTATAAAAACAGATTGTACATAAAATATTTAAAGTCTGCTGAAAGACATCAAATGCTGACCTTAATTTAAATACTTTAAAATAGAGTACTTATTACTTATTATTATTGAGGTGCAATATTGTAATGTATTTTGGGATACTTATACTCAGACTATAAAAGTAACAATTGCACAAAGTTAATTTTTAAGCCTTCATCGTGTCACGAACTCATAAATGACTCAAAACAAGCTGTCATATTGTGGACCGGATTCTTCTCTCAATAAAGCTCGAGGCGGAGCCAAAAATTAAATCTCCCAGCAAATCAAAAAGAAATTGAAAAAAGAGAAGAAAATTAGGAACAGATTTTAGCTTTGACTGACAACACGTAACTGTGACAGTGTGCCGATAAAGGATCAATCCGTTCCTCAATGTTCATTACCTGCAAGCTCTCTGCGAAAATCTCCGCCTAGATTTTAGCCGTGATTCAATTAATGCAGCTACGGGACATTCCATAAGTTTTTTTAAAAGAAAATTCTTAAAATCACATTTTAATTTTCATGTAGAAATTTTTCGCAAACAGCCGAAGCCGCGGGCCGAGAACCGGATGCACGCGGTCAATTGAGATTTGTCTAAAATAAGTCCTTGAAATTTCATAATAATTAAAACAAACTATCCAAGCTAAGATCTCACCTCGTATATATTGCACTAAGAAACAACGCTCAGATCTGAATAAACTCCGACATATGGTTATCTTTCTCTCATAGACTATTCCGCACATGCATGGCATATTATTTTTGAGATGTCACGCGCGACTGAAATCACGACTTCGCGCCGCGGTGATGTGACAAATGCACGTGATAAGCAAACCGTCCTTTGTCCTTTGCTCATTTCAAATTATTGAACCGGCGGTTGCTCCCGGGCGGTTGCTGTGAGCTTAAATGCGCTTGATTTTACTGTTTGTTACGATCTTACAAAAGTACACTCCAACTCTGCGGATTGTCGGAACACGTAGATGTTGCTTTTATCACGAATCAAAAATGGTTATGACTCCTCAGCGACTGTTATGTACTTTGAAAGGTTCTGGTTCAGGAGAAGAGTCCAAGGAGTCTAATTGTAAGTATTAAATATACAATGTTACTAAGACGCTTAGATATACGCCATATGAGAAACAAATGAAGGGTAGTAAACATTTATATAGTCGCGCCCGTACGGCAATTTTACTTTTTACAGGATTCCTTGCAGAGACTCGCTGTTTTGTATAAATGATCTCAGTCACTTGATGTCACGTCACCGGCCTCTTTCATTCTCGCGTAAATTTATTCGTATGCTGTTCTTTATCAGCCACTAATTAATGTTCAGGCGTAGCCTGCATTAAGCTTCTGATGATATTTGAGTAAAGCCGTGAATATAATAAACAATGTAAGTTACATGCATGTAGATTAATATTTACCGGTAACGTCAGTAACGTTATACCCTTTTGAAGCCAAAGGTTGATAGCCTGTGTACATACCCCCCCCCCCCCTCCGAGTTTTATTGAGGGAAGGGGTCTGTACACAGGCTAAAGATTGATTTGAGCATTTCTGAAAAATTCCATAAGAATTTCCCGAGAATTCTTAGGGAAATCAACGTAAAGTAATCGGCTAAGAGATAATTCTCTTGAAGTCCTAGCCTAGGACTGTGTGGCGAAATTTCGCCGAGGTAAATCTTGCTTTTTCAGGGTAATTTTCGACGGTTTTGTATTCATTTTATTTCATGAATTTAAATGGTATTTCCATCCTGTTTTTGTACTATTTTTATGCTCTTTCGACCGATTTTTATACTGTTTTCAGACAACTCTAAGGCTATGTTCTTACAATTTTATACTGTTTTGGCATTTTTGCATCCTATTTTTGATGTATTTAATTCATAATATATGTGTGCTATTGCTTTTCTTCTTCTGTGGTATTTTAATACTGTTTTCAAAGTATTTTTATTGTATTTGCAAATACGAGTATTTTACTAAATTTCGAAAGCGATTAAACAGCTATTAAAATATATTTTGAAGCATAACATTTTAATAGCGTTTTAAACAGGTTAAAACACCTTTAAAATCAGTCGAAAAATATATCAAAAATATATTTTTGTACCTATTTTAAACCGGTTTTTTTTCAAAATACGTTTAAAATTGCCATTAAAAATAGTTTTAAAATAGTATAGTAAATTAAAATATGTTTTTGAAACTGTTTTTGTCCTGTTTTTATTCCGATTTATAAGGTATTTAAAAACTGTTTTTGACCTGTTTTGAGCCTTGCAAAAGCCCTGGAATTTTTTATATATTTTAAAAGCATTTTAAAATACTTTAAAAATTCTTTTTGAATAGCGTTTTAAACAGGTTAAAACACCTTTAAAAGCAGTCGAAAAATACATTAAAAATACACTTTTTACCCTATTTAAAACCTATTTCACCAAACAGGTTAAAAACAGTTTTCAAAAACAGCTTAAAAATACATTCAAAACAGTGTTGGATTTGGTAAGGGTAGGAAAATGAGGATAGTTGCGTGCTGTAATTCAAAGCCAATGGGCGCTTTCAATACAACAAAAATTCCGGTTGAAATGTTGGAAATTCCACTTGCCCAATGGAACTACATCGACCTGACCAAAGCCACAGTGCGTTTGGTTATCGTTGCTACAAAAGAGCGGTATTTGAGACAACAATTTTGTCAAATGGAAAGGGACATTCCAACATTGCCGATCTTAATCTAAATAGCTCTGATCTGGCTGGATCTTAATTATTCTCTTTACAACTAAACCAGTCTGGTCTTTCAGTTATAACAGATGGAATTAACCGAGACCTTAGCTGATTAAAAAAAATATACCTTCACTTTAGTCTAAATTGCAGCCGACGACATCATGTATTTCTTACAAATTGCGACAGGTCTGCTACAAATTACTACAAAAGTGCATTAATAAATAAAAAGGCTGTCTCTAATATCACTAAATTTGCCTGAGAACGTTTCCACCGTTGTTGTTAACTATTCCTAAGCGAGAAAATAAAACAAGACAGACATGAGCCAGCAGCATCACGGTAATCTGCCCATGCATGCAGTCTATTCCGTTTAATTCCACTGCTGTACTAAATAGAGTATGCAAAGGTTTTCAGTTAACAAATTGAGCAAGGAAAAAAATTAACTGACCACGATGTGAAACAGAAACACAATGTCGATAAGTTTTTAAAGGCAGTTCAACTGTGGAAAAAAACACCCTCTTCACAAAAACTTCTTGTCCAACAGTT